ATTAATTCTAATTTATATTATTAGCAGCTATGCTATAATAAATTCAAGATAAAAATTTATCTATTTATTAATTTTTATTTACTGAGTGATTATTATAATAAAATAAACAAATTATTAAAAATTAAATAAATTTATTTTATAATTTTTAATTTTAATTTTTTATATTGAATAATTACTTAATAAATTAAATTAAAAAATATTAAAATTAAAAACTTATATTTATTATATTTTAATAGTATTTATAAATATAATATAAATATTAAATTTTTTTAAAGATAATTATTAAATAGTTATATATTTAATAAATTTAATAAATAATAAATTTAATAAATAAAATAATAATATTAATAACTTATTTATTAATTATTTTATATTTAAAGATTTTAATAATTTAATTAAACTTTTATATATAATTTTATTTATATGTTTATATAGTTATAGAGTTGAAAAAAATAAAATATATATAAAAATTTAAAATAATTTAATATTATTAAATTAATTAATTAAAATGATAAAAGTTATATATTAAATATATAATTATTAAATAATTTAATAAAATTTAAATCAAATTATATTAGTAAATATAAATATAAATTTTAAATTTTTTATAAAAACTATAAAAAATAATATTGATCATATGATAAAAAAATCTAATATATTTATATATATAATAATTAAATATATTTATATATATAATAATTAAATATTTTTATTAAATATTATAGTGCAAAGTTGCTGATAATATAAGATAAGATTGATTTGCTCTGCTCTAAAGATTGATTTATTTCAATTCTCAATCATTTTTTTATATTAGATTACTTATTTATTCTCACATTTTAATTCTCAGTTTAGTATTCTCATTGCAGCTATCTAGTTAAAAAGATGAATTGAGCTTTTATCTTGTTATCATTATACCTCTAGTTAAGTTATAATATTAAAGTTTTATAAATTAAAAATTAAAATTAAATAAATTTATAATTAAGATGTCTAATATATTAAAATAAGTATTTATTGATGATAAAGAGTATAAAATAAAATTTTATAATAATTATTTTATATTAAAATTATTAAATTAATTTTCTACTTAATATTAATATAAAATCTTTGAGTAAGTTTATAAGTGTGCACAAATATATAATATTAAGAAACAGAATATACATCTTTAGATCAATAATAATTTCTCAATATTTTTTATTTTTATCTCATTTATATAAATTTTTAAGTAGTTATTTTACTCTCTTCTACTGGAGTTTATATGGTATTTCAAGCATCATTCTTACATTTATAATAGATTATCTATCATTTCAGAATTTTTTAAATTCTTCAAGATATTCTTCTATCTTTATAAGTATTTTCTAAAAACGGACTGATTTTTGAAGAAAAGTTGATAACTTCTCAGAAACATTTAATTGAACAAGATTTTTTGAATAACTTATGTATACATCTCTGATCTTGCAAATTTGAAAAGTAAACAAAATTTCAGAATTTACAACCCCTCATCTTCATCTTGATCATATTCTGATGTGTTAGTAGTGAAACAGTTGTTGTGACACTTCTAGTATTTATGTTCTGTATATGATTATTGAGCAATATTACAGCAAATATGAATTAGAGGTTTTTTTCTTTAATATTTTTCTTAAATTTTTTTTATTTTTTGTTTTTTGTTTTCTGTTTTTTTAATTTTTAATTTTTAATTTTTAATTTTTAATTTTTAATTTTTAATTTTTATCTGATGATTTCGATGCAGATAGAGTTTTACCTTTGAAACTTTCACAGGGTGAGTGTGTGTCTTGGCACTTCTAGATCTTGGACGTTGTGTGGGTGCAACTTCAGCGGATGATATTCCTCCTGTTCCACCTCTTATGTCTACGGGAAAAGTACGGTTAAGAAGATGTCAACGTTCTTTTTGCCAGCTGCACGCCTTATTTAAGATGAAGCATTGCAGTCCTCGAATCATGGAAGTCCCGTGAATCTTTTAACTTTCCAACGTCTAAAGTGCTCTCAGCATTGTACACGGGTTCAACAAATCCCCACTTCACCTACCAGATCGAGCTGTTTCACACACTTCCCTTCAATCCCTTGTTTTTGTTCTGGCTCTACTAGATCATTCATCTTCAACTTATCGCCACGGTTGACACTGAAACCAACGCCCTTGTCATGAGCTGGAAGAAGAAATGTTGTCAATGCACCATGGAGTCAAGCCAAGGTTCGTCCGATGATGCCAGCAGCAAGTTGCAAGATGGTATAATTGTATTTTCCCGCTATTTGGACGCCTCCGATGAGGCCAAAGTGGATATCCCGAGTATCCCTTAATACCACCCCATGGTAACCCTGTCCTAGTTTTCTTGTTCCTTCCCCCTGCTCCGTTCCATGCCTTTACGGAGAGCATATAAAACTCCGAACGAACCCTAATATAAAGCCCGAGGCATAGCCGGTTATATACTTCCACAGGCAATATCCCAGTTACTTTGGTCCCCCGCTGGCGGTAACAGGTGGATATGCAAGTAATATTTCACCGAGAGCCCGGGTTTTTGATTTTCAGCTGTGCTTGAGACTCCTTATTTTTTTCTGCCATCCCCCGCCTTCGATTCATCCGTCTTCTATCCTTCAGCAATTGCTGCATTTACTGTTTGTCGTCCTTTTTTAGCCCTCATGTTCAGGGTTTATCTTGTACGAGGCTGGCCTCTTTCGATCTTTACTTCTGACTGATCAAGTTTTTCCTGTTTTCACTTTTGTTTATTTTCAAAAAAAAATAAAGAAAAATTCCCGCTTCCACGTGATTCTGCAATTATCCCAGATGGGTGCAGGTTGAAAAACACATCACCCTCATTTGTCGCATATTGTCTGTGTTTGCCGGACCTATTTCTTTCTGGCTGTTCAAGACTATCTGCAGTTACATAGAAAGCTTGCGAAAATGCGTCTAAAATATCTCTTTTCAATGGCAGCTACAGTCGCCCCCGTCGTGACGGTGGAGGGAAAGGCTGTATTTGCCCATTTCATTGTGAGTTTTAGGCTGTGCCTCATTGCAACAGAAGTTCTGCATCACGTTGTGCTAATATCAATCAGGTCGGTAACGGGGCCGGCATGACCAGGTTTGATTGGAAGAACGATATCGAACATGCCAAGGCCGCCTCTATTGATGGATTCGTTCTTAACATCGGCCCCCAGGATTCCTATACATTCGACGTCCTTTATAAAGCTTATACTGTCGCAGCAGAAGTTGGCAACTTTGCCTTGTTCCTGTCATTTGATTACTTGACCGGCGGACCGTGGCCAATAGATAGGGTTATACAGCTCATTAATTCATTTCAGCAACTACCCGCGCAGTTCAAACACAATAATAGACCTGTGGTAACGACATTTGAAGGGGTCAACAACATCAATGACTGGATATCTATCAAAAAGTCTACCGGTTGCTTCTTCATGCCAACTTGGACAAGCTTGGGGCCGGAAGGCTTACGTAAAGTGTTGGATATCATTGATGGTGTTTCTAGTTGGGATGCATGGCCTAACGGCGCAAATTCAAAATCCCAAGAAGCCGACGATGCATACAGGAAAGTTTTGGGTCATAAGCCGTACATGATGCCTATTTCCGCATGGTTTTATACGAACTTGCCTCAGTGGGGGAAAAACTGGCTGTGGCGTGGGGACGATTTATGGTTTGAGCGCTGGCAGCAAGTTATCACACTACAGCCAGAATTTGTCCAGGTATGTTATCTACTGATGCGGAGGTAGTTGTTGCTTTAATTCTTATCTAACGTTGACAGCTCCTTACCTGGAATGATTACGGTGAGTCGAGTTATATTGGCCCAATTCACTTGAATGGTATTCCCAATGGTGCTGCTGAATACGTTGTCGGAAAACCCCATGATGGCTGGCGAGCGCTTCTCCCGTATTATATCGCGGCATATAAAATGTATGACGGAACCAGAAGCCAATACAAGAAGCATGAAAAGGCGAATTCATGTAAATTTGTGCAGAGATCCAAGATTCTCTGTCCAGTTAAAAAAAAATCCCAGGAGCCCGCCGACATTATCACATTCTGGTACAGAGTCAACCCCGGGATGGCTGGAAGCGCTGGTGGCACCACAGGCAACGATGCCAACCATGGTCAGCAAACACTAAACCCAACGGTGGTGTCTGAAGATAAAATATTCGTGTCTGTTTATACCAAGTATCCCAGTATAATATATGTGCAGATTGGAGAATGGCCTGAGATCTTAGTACATGTGGGTTCAGGGCTACAGCACTTCAACGTCCGGTACGGCAACTTTAGGGGCCCAGTAAGAATATCATTATGGAGAGAGGGGACGATGTTGGTCAGTACGACCGGACCAGAGATCACAGATTTGTGTGTTAATGGGAAAGTTAACTGGAATGCATTTGTTGGGTCCAGCGTGGATGTTTGAATACGATCTATGAGGGATGAGTTTATGCGTTGTATGAGTTTTAATTTCCTGGAATGAAATGTTTATTCAGGAGGATATGTATATCTTGTATGTATTGTTAGTAGTCAAATGTAGATAGATGCTCTCCTGGGAACAATTGTCACGACATTTCTGTCTCTCTGCTCATTGAATACCTGGTTTTAGAATGAGCTGGAGTTGGTCAAACGATGGGATTGGAGATTAGCTAGTTAACTATTGATGGATCATATTTGTGAAGATAGAAGCCTGATGCAGGAAATAGAAGCAAAAAAGACTTTTCAATTCAGACTATACCCAGAATGATAGTTCAGTGTGATCATTGTTGGGCCAGGACCTCGCTCTAAGTGGCTGGCCCAATGGGGCTGGGCCCAAAGGCTGAACCAGGCTGAGGTCATCATTCCCCAAACGTCGTCACCATCTATCTCCTCTCCATCTCTCCATATCATTCCTCTCAGTCTCCAACTACACGTACGTCCCTTTTGCCCGCCCAACGTCATACTGTTCAACCCAATCGCTCTCGGCTTCTCCCCTTGTCAAGACACTCTGATACAGTTAACTCCTCACTTCACTAACATGACCCGACAATTCCAATCAAACCTCCGGGTCTCCATGTCGAGCCTCCGCTCTCAATTGCCCATCACGCAAGCTGAGCCCCATTATCAACCTCAATCCACAGAAGAGACCAGAAGACGTGAAGACTCTCCACCCTCCTCCATCTCCCCGGAGTCCTACGCTCAGCCTTTTTGCGATTTCATGACCTCCAATCCCACCATCTTCCATGCCGTCGCCAGCTTCTGCTCCCAGCTCGAAGCCCATGGCTTCAAGGCCTTGTCGGAACGTGACGTCTGGTCGTCTACGCTCAAGCCCGGCGGGAAATACTTCTGCACTCGCAATGGCAGCTCTTTAGTTGCCTTCACCATCGGATCAGACTACAAGCCTGGTAACGGGTTTGCAATTGTCGGGGGACACGCGGATGCCCTGTGCGCGAAACTGAAGCCGGTTTCCAAATTGCAAACCAAGGCTGGGTATGTGCAGTTAGGCGTTGCTCCTTATGCTGGCTCATTGAGCTCTACGTGGTGGGATCGTGACTTGGGTATTGGCGGACGGGTGCTGGTTCGCGATCTGGATACAGGTACCATTGAATCAAAGCTAGTAAAACTGGATTGGGCCATTGCGAGGATCCCAAGTCTCGCGGTGCATTTTGGACCACAGTCTCGAGGACCATTTAACAAGGAGACGCAGATGGTGCCGATTATTGCTCTGGACAATTCGGATCTTTTCGAGAATCAAGAGACTGCTGTCAAGGAAGATATAGAGATTAAGCAAGGTACATATGCCGCTACCCAGCCACCCAGATTGGTCAAGGTTATTGCGGAGCAGCTGGGTGTTTCTGATTTGAGTACCATTGTCAACTGGGAGCTTGAGCTGTTTGATATCCAACCTGCTCAGATTGGTGGCTTGGATAAGGAGTTCATCTTTGCAGGGCGTATTGATGATAAGCTTTGCTGCTACAGTGCGCAAGAAGCCCTCTTGGCATCGTCCGACAACATGTCTACTGGTGTTGTCAAGATGGTAGGCATGTTTGATTCAGAGGAAATCGGCAGTCTGCTTCGGCAGGGCGCCCGTTCGAACTTCATGAGCAGCATCATAGAGCGGATTGTAGAGACCTTCTCACCATCGTACGGTCCCAACATTCTTTCGCAAACAGTTGCAAACAGCTTTTTCTTATCTTCTGATGTTACCCACGCTGTGAACCCCAATTTCCTCAACGTCTACATGGAAGGCCACTCTCCAAGATTGAACGTCGGTGTAGCTGTTTCCGCGGATCCCAACGGACACATGGCTACAGACAGCATTAGCGCAGCTATCTTACAACGTGTTGCAGAAAAATGCGGTTCTGCACTTCAGATTTTCCAGATTCGCAACGATGGCGTAAGTGGCGGAACTATTGGTCCGATGACTAGTGCTCGGATTGGGATGAGAGCGATTGATGCTGGTATTGTTCAGCTGAGCATGCATAGCATCCGTGCGATGACTGGTAACATGGATCCTGGTTTGGGGGTTAAGCTGTTTAAAGGATTTTTTGATTATTTTGAGGAAGTGGATCACGAATTCCGAGGTTGTTAGAGTCTCAGAGGAGACGAAAGTGGGCAATTATTTTCGGGAGATATGTTTTTATGGAAGAGGATATACTGTTATGTCGCAGCTTATTGGCTCATAATTGGAATTTCAGTATTACGGGTTGGTGTATATGGTAAAAGTAGGGGTCTCTAAGCGTTTTGGGATTCTGCTTGAACCATAGATTACTAGAATTATATAATCAATATAAATTTGGGTTTAATTTTATCATAATGTGCACTTTGTAGTATAATGATAATAATCACTTAAAAAGTTGTTTTATCTCATGTTTAAGTGGAGGATGGAATGATTCTCCTGTTTGCTCTCTGCAGAACAACCCAGCGGCCTTTTACACAATGTTGGCTAAATGGCGCTAAGATAAGATAAGATTAAGACACACAGACCTCCACAACCCAAAGTCAGTCAACAGAAAAATTATCCACCGTCAAACAAAACGGATAGAACTACGCCCGCTCAACTGCATGTCTACTGTTCTCTCTCCATCTGCATACTGCAAACCATCTTCATAAAATAGGATGGGGAAAAAGTATAGCCACCTAGAGCCAACCATGGCAGACGAAACACCGCCCAAACCCATTCACACCATTATCCTCGACGCCGCCCCTCTCATCCGTAACATTCCCCCAGTCTCAACGCTACTGGCCCAATCCCACTCCCTCCTAACAACCCCCGCCGTCATTTCCGAAATCAGAGACCCTGCTGCACGCTCAAGGATCGAGACGCTCTACCTCCCTTTCCTCACACAGCGCACCCCTAAACCAGACTCTGTCAAGTTTGTGGCGGAGTTTGCGCGGAAGACGGGGGATAGACAGGTATTGAGTAGACAGGATTTAGAGGTTTTGGCGCTGGCATATGAGATTGAATGTGAGAGGAATGGAGGCGATTGGAGGTTGAGGAGGGAGCCGGGGCAAAAGGGGATTAATGGAATGCCCCCGGTCAAGGGTGAGGAAGCGGTGAAGGGCGAGGGGGAAGAGAAGTCTGTTACAGATAATGCTTGTGGTGAGGGAATTGTTGAGACTGTTGCGGCTGAACTGGGAGAGACGGTGCTGGATGATAAACAGCGAGAAAAGTCACTGGGTGGTTCATCAGATTGCCTAAACGGTGCTGAAGGAACACAACCAGACGAAGCCACCACCGAAGATCCTATACAGGCACAAACAGAGGTATCAGAAGATGACGACGAGGGCGATTGGATCACTCCCTCCAACATTAAAAAGCACCAAGTGAAAGATGCCGCTGCGGCTGCTGCAGCCTCCGCAGAAACTAAAACTATGCAAGTTGCAACCATAACCGGCGATTTCGCCATGCAAAATGTCCTACTACGCATGAATCTCAATCTTCTCTCACCCAATAACATGCAGCGCATCCGTCGTCTAAACTCCTACATCCTCCGTTGCCATGGCTGCTTCACCACAACGAAGGAAATGAACAAGCAATTCTGCCCCTGCTGTGGCAAACCAACACTTAACCGCGTCTCCTGTTCGACGTCTGCTGGCGGCGCATTCAAACTGCATCTAAAGAAGAATATGCAATGGAATACGAGGGGAAATCGGTATAGTATTCCGAAACCGACGGCGGGCACCTCTAATGGGAAGTGGAAGGGTGGGGGGGGGCAAGGAGGTTGGGGAAATGGTCTGATTCTAGCAGAGGATCAGAAGGAGTATGTGAGGGCAGTGACGGAGGAAGGCAGAAGGACGAGAAAGGAGAGGGATCTTATGGATGATGATTATCTGCCGGGCATTGTGACGGGGGAGAGAATGAAGGGAGGCGGAAGGATAAAGGTGGGTGCGGGGAGAGCGATTAACTCGAGGAAAAGGAGGTGATGACGTTTCTTCTTCCCTCTTCTTCTTGGCTTGATTTGCATTGATGAATGTCGTTCTCTTTGATTTTAAAGCTGTGGAACTAAACAACATAGAAGGTACACATGAATATGACTTTAATGTTGGGATGAATTAAACACAGAAACGCGCTCGTACTCGTTACATGAACGATGTGTCGTATACAGAGTATGCGCCATTGTATCTCGAATAGGATCTACCCTTTATCCTGGACTGATGCTCATTCGTTTTGAGAAGGGAGCAGAACCCAAGCAGGCAAGGGAGAGAACAAGGACTCCACATGATCCATAAACAGCAGATGACACAGGTAATAATAGATACCCCTTCTTCCAGTCCTCTCATCACCTTTAAATCTAAATCACAAACACATACCCAAAACTAAATGCCATTTGCCCCAATATCACTTTATCACCATAAAAAAGCTCACATTCTCGGTTCTATATTGAAGGATTAGAAGTGATTAATTTTGATCCTTCACAAGCAAGTATATATAAGATTTGCATCCAAGTGTGATTGTCACTTACGAGGCTGCTGTGTAAGGAGCAATCCATATCGTTTCTTCAATGTCACCCGATGTCTGTTAACGGCAAAACAAAAAAAGCCCGTCAGCCCGTTCCGTATCACACAAGAGTTATAGGTTTACATCTCAAAACTAACCTGGAGTACTTGTCATCGGGCGAGAATCTGGCGGGATGTGCGGATTTTGTGACCTGGCCATCCAGCACCTTTTTCAGCGTGTAGATGCGCTTGCCTTCGCTGTCGAGGGTATACATAAGATGCATACTGCAAAGGACTGGGTTAGCGATCGTTCGTTACAAAGAGTGGTGCAGTGGCGATATCATACTTGGTTGGGGGTGTAAGGCAAGTCTTGAGGCTAGTAATTAAGGGGGAGAAAGATAGTGTTTCTGCAAGTAGCTTGTCCAAAAGTGAAGACGGTAGCAAACTGTTTGGATGGAAAGGTTCTTATACGGGCCTCCTTCTGGAAGGGAAATTTTTATTTCGAGCGATGAGGCTATAACTATCAGACGGAAATGGAAAAAAGCTTTGGCGACGAGAGCGCTAAACAGCCGAGGCTAACCTAGTTAGGGCGGGCTCTTTTAGTGGGTTGGGAAATTTCAAACCAGCGTCAACTTTCAACTTAAAATCCTTTCATACATAATAATTCAACTTCATGTTCTCAACATTCTGCAGTTTTCACCCAACATCCAACGCTGTTGTGTGTTAACACCATTCCATCCACTTTGGACACTTGTATCTTCCTCGCTTCTATGACTGCTACTAACGCCAAACAGTACCTCAAGGAGTAGATCTTTCTTGATGCACGAAGAAAATTCTACTGCAATTTGAGTTCACTGACTGAGAACCCCATCTTTGGGAGGTAAGTAGTTGGCAGTTTGGCAGAAGACCTTGGTAATTGATATCTTTCTTCTACTGATGCTATTTGTGCCTGTATTATTCATTTCCCTTTTTTTTTCTGTTCCCCTGATTTTACACTCTCTCTTTCTCCTGTGATGACACTTCAGTATACTAGGCAATGGCACTGATTTCTAGCTGTTGTTCGATGCTGGCTCTTTGTAAGACTACAACGGTATCTGAGGAAAACTCTCTTATTTTGCTATTTTGAGTAGTTTGTGCGTTTTGAAAGGCTGAACTTGGATCTCCAATTCTGATTCCACTAGTTTCCAGGTCACCCCTAATGTTACGAAAGGAAGATATTCCAACCATGCCCTATTCATAATGGCCCCGTATACTACAGTCATTTCGACTGTTGCGAATGGATCTGCAGACGGCGGTAATAATAAAATATTGGAAATCCACAACGATGAGGCTAAACCCCGTTCTCCCCATCCACGACGGCCCAATTACAAACATATTCATCGATATCCTCTTCCCCTCCATGTCCACCCTTTACCTACTTTGATTCCCCATAACCCTCTCTCCCTCATTAGTATAGTCCTGTCATATCTCACGTGCTTCATTTCGCCTCCCCATCAACATGTCTTCCCTGCATATTTTGACCCCGCAACATCTTCAGTCCATGTCACAGACGCGAAAGTGATTCGTGCGCTGTGGGAGATGGGCTTCTTTGGGAAGGGAAGCTTGAGTAGGAGTGAACCAAGTTGGTTGGAGCGGGAGAAAAATAGAAGGGGAATGATAGGCGATGCTACTAGTGAAGAGGTTACGGGAAAAAGAAGAGTAGAGCGGCGGGAGCGCAAACTCGAGAGAGCTAGGAAGGAAAAAGAGGCTATTGCCGAACAACTCAAAGCGGAAGCGCTGTCTCGTGGTATTGATAGCATGGACTCAGCTTTACCCTCGTTAGAGACTCCCGTGAATGGCTCTGTTATTAAACCAGATGAACGGAATCAAGAAATACCAGCTCAAGAAAAGATAGTCACAACAGCAGATTTATCTACCTCCGGACAACATATAGCCAATGGAAATGCTGAAAATGAGCCGATGAATGGCGTCAAGATCGTGCGCTTCTCGCCAGTGGTCGAAGAAAAAGAATATGATCTTGTTAAAGCTCCTCTATCTCATGTACCTGAAGTTTCAGTCCCTCCTAAACGCGAACACTCACTCGTACTAAAAAATGAAGAACATCTCCAACTGTCGAACGAAGAAGCCTTTTTCCTCGTATACGGCCTGGGTGTCTTGCAGGTGTATGACAGTGACCGCACCACAATCCTCACTGCAACTTCCCTTTTACCCCTCCTCCGCCAACATTCCTATTTCCCTCCACGAGACTCGTCTATGCCCGGAGAACCAGATGACCCATTCATACTCTCTTATGTTATATATCACCACTTTCGTTCTCTGGGTTGGGTTATCCGCTCTGGCGTAAAGTTTGGCGTCGATTATCTTCTCTACAATCGTGGGCCGGTGTTCTCCCATGCTGAGTTCGCAGTTTGTCTGCTCCCTGCATATTCTGATCCTTATTGGAGAGTGACTGAGGAAAGGAGGCAGATGATTGCGAAGAAACAGGGGCGAACTTGGTGGTGGCTGCACTGCGTGAACAGAGTGCAAGCACAGGTCAAGAAGAGTCTGATACTATGCTATGTGGAAGTACCTCCTCCTCGGCCTGTCGCTGTGGATGGTGAGCGTGATTGTGACGAGTTGGATATCGGTGCGCTGTTGAAGAAGTACAAGGTCCGCGAAATGAGCATTAGGCGATGGGTACCGAATCGGAGCCGGGATTGAAGATGGTCTCTCTCTTTTGTTTTCCGTGGGAATGAATGCATTATTGGGAAGGAGTATTTAGCCTGAGCGTTGTGGATGGCTAATTTCTCTTGCTGGAATGTTGCCACTATCTCAAAAGCCATTGACGACGGCTCAAGGACACCATATTTGGTTTGCGTGTATGTTTATCTATAATGTATATCAGATACCTGTAAATGAAAACAATAATGAGCGCACAGACTTGATATTTGACTGGAAATTCTATTCTCTCGATAGCAACAGACGGGGACTATCGTTGGCATAAACACCAGAACCGAGCAAACAATCTCTGCTCCGCCCGCGACTTTCTCTCCAAGTCCCAATCGGGCATAATTGAATTATCAGTATGCACACGTGACCGCGTGCCTCAAATGGCGACTCAAGGAAGTCGCGTTGTAGCCGCGCCAAATCGGGAAGTTAGCAGGGATCATTGCTGTCCTTAGGTAATCCACCCTAATTCCAACCTCCATTAACTAAGTAGTTGGTTAATGAATGACATACATACATACATATTTATACAGACTGAACCTCAATTTGCATGGAAATACCTTGCACGGAGGGCACAGACAAACGCCATCGACTCATCGCGAGTCCGGTGAATATATCTCCACTTCCCGGAGTTTTATATGCCCCAGGTATGGAGACCCAGGATGATAGCCTTGATCTGGACTATCTGAAACGGGCTGCCTTGGGACTGGTTGATGTGCGTCATGTCATTTTCTTCTCTTCTCTTTTCTTTTTTTTTTCTCTTCGAGTGGCGCGAGAGCTACCCAAGGGCATCCGTTGCGCTAATTCACATTTATCACTTGATAGGAAACATCTAAACTAGACGTGTCTAAACATATACATTTACGAGGTGAGATGTTATTGCCCTCTAAACGAGAGTGATATGAGACGTTGAGCTTTTGGGCACTGGAGTCCCCATTGCCCTGGAGATAGCGAAGGCATTCGTTAAACGTCTGATCTAATCTCGTTCAACTGGATAGACTTCCGCCAATTTAACTCTGAGCAAGGTAATGCTACTGCATCCTTGAGTATCACCACGAATCAACCATTGCAATTAGATGCGGTAAACAGCACTCTTCCCGAGTCACCAACTAGGAAGATGGCGTCAACAACATGTGGCCTACCAAGCGACACTCAGCCAATCTCCGAATCCGTCCTTGAAACCTTCTTGAACCAGGCGAGGTCAAACCAGGGCCTTCCGAAAGCCCACGAGCGCGATGATGATGACGATGATCTAATGACAAAGGATGAAACATTACACGAGGGTGATACAGGTCATCTGGATTTACTGGCTGATTTTGCGGAAAGCCCTATTGCCAACACTGAGTCTGTCGATGAGGATGAACAACACGAAGATATTGACATGGCTGACGCAGTGTCGTCTCCAACACAATACCAGCATTTCCCTGAGTCTCAACGTTTTATTCGCAGAACTCCTACTGTACGCAATCGTCAAAGCCCACCGCTGGAGGCATCCACTATGTCGATGCTCTCACGTAACCCCTTTAGCAGCTCTCATCACAGCGGCAGTACTGTTATGGCGTTATCTCAAGTCTTCAATGCAACTCAAAATTCATCGTCGCCCTTTACCAATGGACCACAGCAAGACTTTTCTTCCGACATGCCATCGCCAAACCTCCCTGTCGAACCTGAATGGACAGGCACGACGACCATGGTATTTTCACCTTTCCTTCCCTCCTCTGCCGTTCATCCAAAGTATCTAGAGCCTCTAACCCACTATGTTTCGATGGAGGAATCACAGGCTGAACGAGAGAAGCTAGCACGATTACGATCAATCGAAGAAAATGGTTCCAGTGATGATGAGTTTGAAAAGGAGGGCAGCTTCGTTCGGAGACATGTACGGGGAAAATATACTGAAGAGTCAGTGAGACGACATTTTGCCAACGTAACCGCCCCTTTCCGACCAAATCCGAAAGCCCGTGGGAGAAGAAGTGCTACTGTCCACTCGTCACCGGGTCAAACAGCATCTCGAAATGGCCATCGGCGGGCTGCTCTTTCAACGGGATCAGATATTGATGTTATTGAAAATAATACTGCTGGAGCAAGTGAAGAGGAGACAGAGCAGGAAGACGAGCACGAGAGCTCTCAGAATCGACGACTTCCACAATCACAGTTTTCCAGTGAAGATGATAAAGAGAATATTGACAGTGGACCAATTCATATCGCGGACACCACCGCCTCTGCCCATGATGCCCTTTCCCAAGTCCTTGAATTGGATACTCCTGCAGGTCACCGAAACTTCATTAGAGAGCTTCCAGATCCTGCTAATTTGAGCCAGGAATCAGCGAAGCCACCCCCAGGCTCACCCGATGAAAACGAAATTAAGACGACTAGGAAATCTCAGATCTTAAAGAGTGTGAATTCCCAACAGTTAAGTCGGGAAATTCTGAAGAGGCGCAGGGTTAGGCCAAGGATGGCAAATACCGATATAGGACAATCGTCTGATAGGGAATGTATACCATCGTCTCCTATATCCGTTCTTTGCAGCCAAGGAACTATTTCTGTGGAAACGCACAGCTTGAGACTCCCCGCAAAGGGGCCCAGAGGCAGACCGAGGAAGTCAAGCGAGCGAATTGGACAATCGCCTCCTGTGGAATGTATACCATACTCACTTATATCTAGTCAAGAAAATAATATCACTTTCCCTGAGCAAAATACCCGTGTCGATCACGATGCAGCTGTGTCGACTCATGGAGATCAACCTATCGCTGATGCCGAGAGCCATCTTGAAACAATTGCTCCAGAGGCCAACCAAGGAGATAGCTCTGATGAACAAGTTAGTGCCGAGGCAGAGCACCAAAAAGGCCGGACAGAACATCCCAAGGCCAACGATAAGCTGTTAGAGAATGACCTATCCTCTGGGGAAGCGGACACTGCTGTGAAACCTTCGTCTCTGCCCTCTCGCGTTTTTGAAACACCTACTATGCATAATAAGAAGCCACCAAATGAAGATAACCAGACAGCACCGGAAACTTCGCCATCATATCATCAAAATCCTTCCAGAAGCTTACCGAAAACCATCCCTCTTTTTAACCAAAGTTATTCAGCTTCTCTGACTGTCGATGACGACCAATTGCCTGTGGTTCCTCAATTTTCTCGCGCTGAACTGGGTGGACGTCTTCAAGTTCCTGGAACGTTCACCCGAGGTGTCATAGACCGCAGCATTTTGGCCATTCTCTCCAGCCCAAGCGGCCGCCAACGTCGGAGTTTGACGGAGATTGCAGCAGACCACTCACCATGTCAATCTCTGCCTGACCTGTTACCAGATTTTGGACTCATTACTGCAGAAGACAGAGAGTTTCAATTAATAACTCGGGACAGGATTCCTCAGACACGGAAAAGGAGTCGAGGGAATGATGGGAAGGCGATCAATCTATCGACCCCTCTACAAATGGATCGAACCCCTACCCCTGAAGGCCCTGTATCAGTTTCACATCCGGCGATACAGGTTAGTAAACACACAAACGAAGTTCCTGAGCGAGCTACACCAGTACCAGTATCAGAACCAGACCTGCAGAATGGCATTGTTGCTATTCAAAAGAATCGTAAAGCTCCTTCTAAGAAGAGTGCAAATGTATGGGAAGTTGAGTGTTCACCAGTCAAACCAGTGAAGCAGGTGGGCAGAGGTCGTAAACGGCGGCTCAGTCAACCACTAGAGCTACCTGTTGCTCGGCCACGTCTCTCTGACCAACTTAGACATAGCATTGCTGGGCCAATTGAGGGTAACAAGTCAAACAGCACCACGCCAACCCCAACAGAGGCGATCAGTAGTTCAGATAGCCCGGACCCAATCCAAGAACAAAAAACCACTAAGCAATCAAAACTGGAGGTTATTTCGCCATCACGGAATGCCCCATATTTAGCAAATAGAGTCTTTGCCTTTTTCAATGGCCGGCCACAGGCTTATTTCCCTGCCACATGTCTTGGGATTTCAAACTCTGTTGGCCCACTCCGATACCTTATTAGGTTCGAGGATTCGACCAAACCTGATGAGGTGAATGCAGACGCAGTTAAGAGATTGGAGCTGAGAATCAACGATATAGTCAAAGTGGACTTGATGCGGGTGCCAAAGATTCCACACACTGTAGTGGGATTCCGGAAGCCGGATGAAACTGCTTCCATTCTTAAGATGGAAAAGGGGCAGGTTTCTTCGAAGATGACTGATATCTACGGGCACAGCCTTGTCATTCTTAGACCGAGGGATTCACGTAACTCTTCCCGCAGAGGGTCTGATATCACCGTGCCAATCTCGAGTATCTATTTTGACAAAGTCCTCTGGTCTCGGTTGGAAAACCGGGAATTTTCATACTCAGAGTTTCCCCTTCCTATTAGTAGTACATCTACATCTGGATTGCAAAAGCTAAAGGACCACCATCACAGCTCTGCGTTGTCTGCTTCACGGACTCCGCTCCACTTTCCAACTGTCTCTGGCTTATTTTCTGGAATGGCATTTGCAGTTTCTTTTAAGGATAGGGATGAAAGGAGAATCGGCATTGAGCAAATCATCACTGAAAACGGTGGACGGATTCTGAAAGAAGGTTTCACAGAGTTATTCAATCAACCTCTATCTAACTCTTCATTTGCACACGACGAAAGCATATCCACTATACACATCACAGAAGACAACAATGGCGGGCTGCTATCTTTACTCCCTAGGGCTGAAACCACTGGCTTTGTCTGCCTCCTAACAGATGAACATAGCCGCCGCGTGAAGTATATGCAAGCCCTTGCCCTCAATCTCCCCTGTCTAGCAGGCCGCTGGATCCACGATTGCATCGCCAAAGGCCGCATTGTAGACTGGGAGCCCTACCTCCTCCCAGCAGGCAAATCCACGTTCCTCAACAACGTAACTCGATCTCGAACTCTGGCCTCAAACCCGGCCCAGACCGCACGACTACCAGAAACCATCGCTTCCCGTCCCAAACTTTTAGCTGGCCAATCCGTCCTCCTGGTCATGGACCGGGGCAAAACAGCCGAACAGCGAAAGCCCTACAGTTTCCTCACCTGCGCCCTTGGCCCCAGCAGAATCGCACGTGTTCATGACATCAATGCCGCGATTAAGCTGCTTGTATCACCTGAGCGTGGGACACGATCCTCAAGCGCAGAGTCAGGTACAGGCTGGGATTGGATATATGTTGGTGACGAGAGGGCTGCTGCAGCTGCTCGTGCGCAACTTATCAGGGAATCGCAGTCGGACTCGCCGGCACGGACTCCTGCTGGTCGCTCTCGTGGTCGACCCCCCAAGAAGCGGCGAGGTGGCGGTCGACCTGTTGCAGGGGCAGCATCCGCCGCTGTCCATGCTCCGGCAGGCGCAGCTGAAGGCGGGGCCACAATTGGGCAAAGTGAGGTTATTATTAACGGGAGGAGCATCAGAATATTGGATAACGAATTTATCTGCCAAAGTCTTATTTTGGGGAAGTTGTTTGAGCCATGATCCCGTTGGAACATGTTTTTTGCTGACATGCCGACGATATACGAATAAAAGTTTTGTGGGCATTTTGTTTATTCTTTTGTTATTTGATCATCCATTTTATTTTGTCTACACGCTTAGTTCTTCTTAATTTGGTCTCTTCTTGATTCGTGCTATTTATCATGATTTTTGCTTCTTTGCTTACGATTCTCCTTCGATCTCCCTTAATCCTCACTCATCTGGAAGGGGGTATGAAGAATGACTTGAACCGTCATTCACCCACATCACTAAATTGCATTTATTGAATGTTCGTTTGAATATTGCGATCTGATATTTTCTTTCGCTCTTGATTATTTTGCGTCCTATATTCCCCCTTTCCTCAAGTTTCATATCCCTGTTCATCTACGGATTTCTATCCATGATTCAAGAAAATATTATGTCAAGATACCCTAAGTACGTGCCTTCGTTCCCAGAGGTATTTCATTTCTTTTATTATTTTTATTATTAATTTTGTTAGTCAGGCCTACTTAAGTATTTTCCAGTGTAGATAGCTGGCTATTCAGTGTGCGATACAAATAAAGGTTTCAGGGTTATTCTACCTTGTAACTGTAAAAGGAAGGGAATGTGCTAGCAAGTTTCTCTTAACTAAAAAAACAAAATTTTCAAATGTTTCCTATTTTCATTTAAATCAGAACTTGAAAGCTCGCCTTAACCAATGGATATATTTGTAACAGAGTAAAGAAATAGATTCTATTCAATGTCATTCTTGTTCTATTATACAGTCAAAGAAATGGATAAAATAGAAAACTAGTAAAGGAAACGATACATCTCATTTATCCATAAAAGGAAAAGGGTCCAGAGCTTCTCTCTCTTCGTTTCCTTCTGCTACTTCTACTAACTTTTAATCCCATGGTATTCACACAACACCCATCCGCACCAGCACCAGCACCCACGCTTACGCCTTAGCCTTAGCCTTCTTCCCCTTATTCTTTGACTTCGCATCCTTCAACTGCGCTGCAATCTTCCTCCTCTCCATTCTCCTCCTCCACGCCGCAAAGCGATCGCTCTTATCCCACTCCGGCACCTTACGCCCCGCACGTTCCGCTACCCGGCCAATCTGCCAATTAGCCACACGATACATATACCCAGGTCTAAGCGTAGGGGCAATATCCGCCTCCTTGGCCGCCTTGTTGGCCTTTTCCTTCTCCACATCTCTGGGCACGGCGAGCATTCCAAAGCGTCTCCGCGTAATCGCGTTCCTGGGGGTGGGTAGAGTGTCGGACTTATTGAAGGCAACGCCAATATATTTGCGGTCCGGATGGCGTGCAGGATCTGTGTAGTACTTCACATAGCCTGTGGCGAGGGAGTAGATGGTGTGGTCACGGCCCATGCCGCAGTTTTCGCCGGGGAACCATTTGGAGCCCCGTTGGCGGAAGATTATGTTACCGGGAATCACGAATTGGTCACCGGATTTTTTGGCGCCGAGGCGTTTGCCTGGGCCGTTTTTTGTGCCATTGTTGGCGCGGCCCTGGCTGGCGTGAGAAGCATATCGGACTTGGAGCTGGGAATGTGGAGGTGCAGTGAAGGATTGGTATAATTGGTGTTGTTGCTGGAGGATGGAGGGACGAGAGGAGGGGCTGGGAGAAAACGTGGCATTATTGGTAGTGCTAGTTGTGGTTGTTCTCCATGAGAGCTGTGATAGTGACCGTGTGGGTTTTTGGGTGCCGAGCACGGATGCGGACGGGGAAAAGAGGGTATCAAGAGCCCTCATTGGGCCACGCAGTCGAGGTTGAATCATAGCAGCATCAATGGGTGAGATCGGGAACGGATAGATAATACACCTCCCCCTCAATCTCAATCTCAATCTCCTCAGACTCGATCGCGGCGTATGGTTGTTGTCGGTCGCTCATTTGGTGGTTTTTAATGTGATGTAGCTTCCTCTTTTCCACTGGCGGTTAGGTCATGTGATATAGGCTCTTCATCCACGTGATATGGAGGTTCTTATCAATATAATCTGGCCAGAATAAAAATGAAATAAAAGCAATGAATATAAAGTCTATACGAAGTGCAAACATGGAGATAAAGATGTTTCACATACTTATAGGCGCTCTCTTAGGTTTACTGTTCCTTGCAACGGAGACCAGAGCCCAATTCCAATTTTTCGAGCAGATGTTTGGCGGCGGCGGACACCAGCAGCAGCAAGATCACCGTGAACAGAATGTTGCCAGCGACAGCTCCTGGTACCAGCGAAATTATGACAATGGTATGCTCCTTTAGATAGTGTGAATACAGCTTTATATTTTCTCTTTAAGCTCAACAATGCTAACCACCGTCCCGTGCTAAGCTCATTGTTCCGACTATCTTTGTCCTGGAACTCTAGCCTGCGTTTCTGTTCCACATCATTGCCCCTGCCAGCACCCGGATGTCGAGGACAAGTTCGAGCTGGGAGATGGAAGCGCTATCTGTATATCTAAGGGTGGATTCAAGGCCAATGAAGCTGCAAGAAAGGTTGAGCTGGCACGGAAGGGATTGCTGTGAAGAATTGATACTTGAAATTCCGAGAACGACATATAGTTACTTGTACCCAGTTTTATACCTCCCACGATCGTCTTGTTTCAGCCTTGCAAGCTCCGGCTCTCCGTCTCCCCAGTTACGATATAGATGTATGATTGATCTGAAGTGATATTAGGTTTGGCTGGGGTTTTGCATTCATCGTGGTTCTATAGTTATGTGATGCGTGGACACATACGTATATGTACGATGGGCAGAGCTGGGCTTATTCTGCAAAAATAAATTCAAACAGAAATAATACATGTACAGGATGATACATATGAGCATCGATAACAATTAAATATTTGAATTCATGAAGTTTGTTATTTATAAACACTTAATATGCGGAGGAGTATGACTTCCGGAGCTATTATTAACTTAATATTTACTACCTAATGTTAACTAATGTAATTCCCCATCGAGCGAAATTCTCCATCAAGTGAAAGATTAAATTGAATAATTTCAATTTCCTAACTCATCCACTTCAATGCGCAATTATGCTACCAATTTCTAATAAAAAAGCAAGAAACTCTATAGAAATAGAGAGAAGAATTGAACTCACAATATCTGCTATTAAAAAGCAAGAAATAACCTCAACTGCTGAAGCTGCATGCTTATTCAATGTTCCCTACACTACTTTATATCATTGACTAAAGGACTGGTCTGCACATGTAAATTTACATGCAAATTTAACTAAGCTGACTGAGGCTGAAGAGAATCTAGTAGTTGAATGAGTGCTAGGTTTATCTAAATAAGAATTACCTCCCCAGCCAGTCTTTGCAAAGAATATGGTCAATCATCTTCCTATTTAATAATAATTCATCTCTACCCCTCACTGTGTTAGCAAGAACTGGATTTCAAGACTGATTAAACACTGTATAGAGCTTCAATGTCACTATACCAGACATTATAATCATGAGTGAGCAAGTGCTATGATCAAACAAAGCTACTACAGTCTGAGAATCATGAATGAGTCATTGTAATTAAGTCTGTCAATGTGTTAGACTGAGTTCTACCTTCATACATTATTCTAAAAGCTCAAAATCTTCATGAAGATTGATTTGAAGACTTGTTAAATAACTGAAGATGTGATGTTAGTGTCAATGACTAGACTATAGATGAAATAGAGATAAAATAACTTACTAAAGTGTTTATCTCTACTGTCAATTTATATAGAGTTGGCACTTATATTCTTCTTATCTTGAATGAATATAACAGTCATCTTACTTTGAAATTTGATCAGCTTTACAAAAATAATAAGATTATTTCTCTCCGTATGTCAGCACATTTATCTCATGTTCTATAGTTTCTAAATATTAGTATCTTTATTAGTTTAAAATAAGCATATAAGAATTTGATGAAACAACACATACAGCTTAAATTCAATATTATTAAGAAAAATAACTTCTTAAATATCTATCCTGCAATATATGCAGAGGTTTTTAAGACTTAGAACATTTAAAGTGACTTTATGACTATTGAAATAGTTCTATTTGAATATGATTGAGTTGTTCAGCAACTAGATATTTAGCTTCAAACTTCTATTCCTCTGAGTAGTCAATTCAGCAACTCAGAGTTATTCTAAATACTTCAAACATCTAGTAATCTATAGCAATTATATAGATAAGCAGATAAGATCAAGAATTTTATGAAATAAGATCTTGAAAATCCCTCTCATGACTTGATAGAAGGGCTTGATCAAATTATCAAAACTTGTAAATATGAAATAATTAATATCATTATTATAAAGAAGTAATATCAAAATATATTTAATATCAAGAAGATTATGAAGTAAAAGCAAAAGAGATCTAATCATCAAATTGAATCTAAAGAGAATTTAACTAGACAAAAAGCTCAGGATTTTGTTATTTCATCTGCTGAGTCTGTTGAATAGCCTGTCATTCAATCTCATAAGTCTTAGTCAGCAAACTTTCATTTTCACTCAGAAGCTTTACAATGATGTAGCAACTGCAATTTATCTGATTATAAGAGAACAAGATATTCTAATCCTTATATCAATTAAATTAAATTAATTAATTGTTGTTGAGTGTAGATATTTCAAATTAAAATCTAGTTAATTGAGCTATAATTATTTAATCTTTTATTTGATGAGGAATTTCACTTGATGAGGAATTATATTAATTAGTTAACTAATTATATTACTGTACAACTCATATCTCATGTGAATATGTCATATCAAAATGATAAAAACATCAAAATGATAAAAATCTTACAATTTCATCATTTTTATCATTTTCATTAATTAATAACTCACTACAATGTCAAATAAAGCCAAAAATTTTAAACACCATATTCAAAAAGCTGTCACTTATCATTCAAAAAATTCAAATTTCAAAATACTGCCTCTGTTATAAGAATTTAAGATTACTTATCAATATCTCTAAGTGTGTATCAATGAAAGGAATCTGAATACTGCAAAATTTCAATTAATAAAAGATTAAATAAGAGTTAGAAAAATATGATTAAATAATAAATCAAGCTGCTTATGAAAAGAATTATTCTCTCATAGTCAAATATATTAAAGATTTTGCAAATTCAATACTCAGACATCAGCATATAGATTCTATTACCTCTTCTTTAAAAGTCAGCAAAATGTGAACTTATAGATTCATTGAATGTCTATACAAGTATAAGAGAGTAAAATAGAAGTCAATGAATTCAAATAGAGTAGTAGTTGAAGATATTAAATATATCAATACATGATTTAAATATCTTCAGATTCTATTTGAGCAGTATTAATTTCATATCTGTAATATATATAACTTTAATGAGATTAAATTTCAAGAAGAATAAAAATATGAAAAATAAGTTATAATTGTTTTAAAGAAGCTAATTTCTTCATTTCTTTATTTTTTTCAAAAGATTTAGTTACAGTCATTGAATATATATTTATAAATAATTATATCATTCTATTATTGATAATTTTAGTCTTCAAAATATATTTAATAAATTGATATACACAGATAGATTTACTCAGCAATTATAGAATTGCTATATAAGATATTAAATTTACAAATGATAAAATTGAATTTAAATAACTTAAACATTTCAATACTACTATAGAAAAGAGATAGAAAAGAAGTCATTGATTATTTTTAATAAATGATCATAAATCTTACATTACTGAGAAGTTCATATAATATATAAATCTTCATAAAATAAATATATATAAATTTTCATAACATGTTATTCATTTACTACAATCTCTGAATAGTGTATCATTTCAGTAATATAAGTATTATCATTCAAAAGCAGTCAACTATGCTACATATCATGATTTTATTAAGTATGAAAAATAGTAGTTTCTATAAGATCTCTTAGCTATGTAAAAGCAAATCTTTAAATCTGATATAATAGCTGCAGAATTAGCTCAATATGACATATATTCATGAAATTCTGACTGAGTTCTTGACACTCTTAAGCAGTAAAGCTCATCATCTTCTTCACTGTAGATTTATGAAGATGAGAATGATTCAAATCACATATCTATCTTTTCTTCTTAGCCATTCTTATCAAAGATAATTTAAAAGCTAAAATATCATATTAATATTGCAGAAAACATCATACAAAGTATTAAAGATACTTTTGATTTGAAATCACTTTTCTTGACATGTTGTTTGAACAAGATATTCAAAGCAAGTCTAATTCATATGAAACTTAATAAGTAATAGATCACTGAATTAGAGAACTTTCTTGATATTAGTAAATATCATAGAGTTAAAACAACTCATCATCAGATTCAAGTAGAGAAAGTTCTCATTATGAAAGATGTCAATAGAAAAATCAAGCAGTGTAAGAATAATGAAGCTGAAAAAGAGCAGAATAAGAAGCAATGAAGACTTGAAGTTGATTCTATGAAAATTGACAATAATCTACTCACATCACTAACAAAAGAGGAATTAAATCAATTTAAAGATGACACACATACTGAGAATGATGTAGATAATCTTTTTATTATAGATTAGCTACTGGTTGTTGATATAGAGTGCAATAACAAGGATGTGATTCAAGATTTTTATCATTTTGATGTTTTTATTGTTTTGGTGTGGGTTGCGCAGGGGCACGATTAGTAGTTATATAAAGATGATGAACAGAGTAAAAATATCCCTATACATGATAACTCCATACCTCAGAAGCTACATCATTCCAACATCTCCTTCAGACTTCACCACATTCTGCTCCATTTTACTCATTCCTGTATACCCCTAGAACTTGCAATATATCAACTTTACAACAATAATTATCTCCGCCACATATACCGTCATCCTGCTATATTAAAATGTGGTGGTGGTGGCGACTGAAGCTACCCATGCCCCGCACTCTCTTGGGCACACGAGCGGCTTCATTGCGACCAAGTCCATGGTCACGAAAGGGCTCATGCCTTCCTCCCCTCCGTCAGAAACCTCGAAATAATCCCGGGCGACCAGATCCTCCCCTTCCGCTACCAAAAGAAGACCAGACAAGAGCGCAATCTGCATCTGCGAGCTCCTCGCCAGGAGAACAAAACTCCGTCTCCACGACACTGCGCAATACCGATCCGCAAGACAACTCGCTTCTCGCACCGGTTCACATCCCAGAGGACCCAAATGCAGTTCTTAAGGAACGGCATCCGGCTGCTGCACTCCTGGCAAACTCTGGCCTTGTTGTCCAGAGACAGTTGGAGATGATGAATGTGCTTCTGTGGGTTGACGATAATAATTGTAGCCCTTCATTAATACACCTATGGTAGATCCACTGCTAACGACGAGGACAGCGGCTTCGAACAAGCCAATAGATACATAATCATGGACGCGCAAGGGAACCACGTCGGATACATGGCTGAGCAAGAGAAGGGCATGGGTGGTATAATGGCCCGGCAGTGGTTTAGAACACATCGATCGTTTGTCACCCATGTATTCGACAAGTATGAGAACGAAGTCCTACGTGTATGTTGGTTTTTCATGAAATACAGCAAAAAATAAACTGCT